CCCCCCCCCCACACACACACACACACACACACACACACACACACAGTGTACCCCAAGGAACACGGTCGAATGTCTTCTCCAAATCCACAAAACACGTGTAGACAGAATGGGCAAACTCCCATGACCCCTCAAAGACCCTAGTGAGGGTAAAGAGCTGAAAGAAAATCTGCACTTTCTGTCCCTCAGCTTCCACACAAGCTTCAGCAGCAGCAGCTTGTGCCACAGTTCATCTGCAGAGCATGAACACATTTCATTATTATTGTTTCCCCAGAGCCTGCCATGTGTTCCCAAATGCTGAGAGGAAGTTAACCCACAGATGGGTCCAAGGTAAGAGATCACCCCCCCCCACACACACACACACACACACATGCACGTACACACATGCACACACACACAGCTGTGACTCCAAGCAGAGTTCTGCCTGAAGGAGCCGCTGCATCCAAACAGAAGGTCAGCCAGAGACGATGATGATGCACAGAAGACGCAAACAGCCAAGAGACCCCCAGGTGATTCCACCAAGGGCTGGCCAGTCATCTCCCAAAGAAACTGACCCAAAACTAACAAGGTGCTGAAGCTTAAATAAGTTTGACAAGTTGGAGTCCCGAAAGGGCAACTCAAGAGAGAAGGTCAAGGAGAACACATAACCAAAAGATTTAAAAGATTTAAGGATGTTCTCCTGTGATGTCTTGTAATGAAACAGGGACTAATTTCAGTTTCAGTGAAAATAATAAATGTCACAGAGTAAATGCTGCCAATTTTCTGAATAAATAAATACAATTAAAAGTACCTGTATTAATGGTCTTCTTCATGCTCTGCTGATCCACGTGTCAATAAAAGCAGCAAACCTGGAACTGTGTCCTGCAATCCGACTGATGCAGTCTCAGTCTTCTGGCTCTGGTTTTTCTGCTGCCAATCAGCACGTGGTGACGCCTTGTGGATATATGCCTTGAAAGCAGCTGGACTAGATGATGTGCACTTTAGTGGGAAGTGGACTGTTTTGTTACCATGAGAAATGTGAGTGCATATATTGTGGTGGGGGGTGGAGAGCTCAGCTGACGTACTTTTACGCACGGATTGCTATTGGAGACACAGCCTCATCTGTGCCAGAGTGGAGCTGCCCTAAAGATTATACAGTTCTGCTACAGTTTCAGCTGTTTGAAGGAAAGGTGGAATGAAATAAAACATGACAAATGAATAAACAACCTGAAATCCATACCATTTGCACATCAAATTAATCCTTTCCTTCAAAATTCTTCATAAATATATCCTAACGCGACATTTTTACAAAAGTAGCAGTGTAAATTTAATTAATTGTGGACAATGTTAATGTGTTCGTGCGTGCACATCTGCTCACAGACTCATGTTCATGTTTGTGCTGATGTTCAATGTTTTTTATGTTATGAGTGCTTAGTGTATATTTAGTTGATGTTTTTCTTGGTTCATATCTTAGATGTTATTACTGTTTTTCTTATACATTTTATTGTTGGATGTAACTGGGACCTCTTGTACATAATTTCGCTCCACCACATGTACCACATGAATGACAATAAAGAAACTCTGACTCTGACTCTCTGACTCTGACATTATGGCTGTGAGAAAATCTAATTAGCAGTTGACTTTGTGAAGAAAACTGATGGTGAAAATGGCACAAACATCCAGTTATAGATTAAATGAAGACAACCATTTAGAAAATAGTTAGAACAAAAATAAAAACACAACAAATCTTAGTTTATGTATATGTATATATATATATATATATATATATATATATATATATATGTAGTATGTCATATAGGATATATATTCATACTTTTCACGAGTTCCTCATCTTTCTGACTGTGTAAATGTCGTGCATTGAATTTCAACAGAAATGTAACGAGAGACGTTATTTATCTTTGACCCATCAAAATGAATGCGGTCATTTATTTTCAGAATCAAAGTTAACATCAAACATTTACATTAATTTGGCAAAATATGAAAATAATAACAGACAAGTTTCACAAATAATAGACTTCAATCACACGGCGGTGATTGAGGATTTTGCTTCAGATATTTCTAAAATATCTGTACTGACTTTAAGAGAAAGCAGAGTTTAAGATGGAAATGGAGATTTATCTTACAGAGAGATTTGTGAGGGAATTAATCTGTTTGACCAGAAACGTGCACGCTCCCATCAGATCTCAGCTTGCGACGGTACGCTTGGTTGAAGTAGATCGTTACCTGGTTGACGATAAATCAGCTCGGTATAGAATCCTTCAGACTCTTTCAGCGTCTCCGTTGAGAGCAGCTGAAATCCTTCGAGAGTCGTACGAGGTTGTTCAAACAGAAGTTATAATCCCAAAACGTCTCTGGATCATCCTGAACGCGTTTGCATCCAAGAACTCTAACTCCATCACTCTGTGCACTCTCTAGTTGAACTCATTCCTGAGCGCAGCACTGCAGCAACCACAGCAACTCAGCAACTCCTCAACTCCCCATGAACTGGGAAGTTGCCACATTTTAAATGGGTCGACTTCCGGGTCATTTGAGAGCTTTTGATTGGTCGATGGACCAGAAATAGAGGTGTGGTTTGTGATGTAAGATGTTATCAAATTCGAGGTCAGAGAATGAGATTGTTTAACAACAGACAGAAAGATTATTGCAAAAAACCAGACTTCGTGGAGTCTCACTCTGCTGTATCTTCTCAAATAGTTAAACATGACATTTTTCTCAGTAAACATTTTAGTTGACCGAGAACCGACCTTTAACATACTTACAAAACTTGGCTCATTGAAGACAGAAAATCAAGAAATGCATATTAACCTGATTTCTTCTTTGAATGAGGAATAAAAATCATTACTTACTGTTTATGTAAAATAAAAATGAGTAGTTTTCTTCAACCTGTAAACATTGAGT